GAGAGCGCGAGCCGGGGGGGGTCCTGCGTGACGAGAGAGGGAGCGCGCCGGGGTGCCGAGAGAGAGGGAACGCGAGTGCGCCGGGGTCCCCCGTCCCGAGAGGGAGAGAGCGCGCGCTGGGACACCCTGAACTTCCTCCCATCCAATGCTTTTCTATCTTTAACCCTTTGTTGGGACAGACCGTGTTGAGATCCAGTTCATAACTGATGATGAGATCAGCACACGCAGGGTTAATTATGAGGGCCCCTCCCCCAGCTATTTATTTCAGGAAACCGTAAAAAAGAAGCTGCAATTCTATTTATTTGTTAAATTCTTTATCTCCATAAAATTGGGGATCAGCCGGCGGAGGGAACCATTGTATTCCCTCCAGAAGCTGGAAGTATTGATGGTGTTACACCCGCGCATATGTAGTGGATGCCGTTTGCTGCGCCAGGCCGCGCGCGCGTCACATTAAATGATGAGTTCTACTATTGTGTGATGGGGTATCGGGTTTCCAGATATCTTCCACTTACTGTGATTCCCTGTGCAGCATAATGTCAGAATAAATGCCGGTGATAAATCTCTACATCTAAATATCAATAAACATCATTAAAGGAGAAGTACGAGGTCGGGGCTTTCCCCCATAGTTCTCCTCGGGGTCAGGGGGGGGTCACAAACTAGCGTCCTCCCGTCACACCCTAACCCTAGGCTCAGTGTATAGGGAGCTACAGCTCGCGGTATACGGAGACGCCGCAGCCGGAGCGGATCTCGACATCGATGTCGAGATCCGCCCAGCTGCGTGAGTGACAGCTGGCTCCTCCTATCTAGAGTCAGAGCCAGCTGTACCCGCCCCCTCCCTGTCCGTTCCGCCAGTCAGCGCTATCGGAGCAATACGGCAATAGTGGGTGTAGCACAGCAGTCCGATACGTGAGTCCCGGCGATCGGTAGTAAGCCGCCGTTAATGTATTTATTTAGCTCCAGGACGGAGAGCAAAGTTCTGTTATCTTCTTTATGCCACCATTGTCCACCCGACTTATTCCCAAGCAATCCCTCCTGATTTTAACAAGCATCCATTTTTATCCACCCGTGTCCAAATACCGGGTTGGGCACGAGCCTCTCCCTCCGGTTAACACCTTCCTCACCGGTATTCAGCGGCGATATCCGGCTTAGGGAGGAGGAGCCTCCTAAGTGCAGTATATTGAAATGCACTTAACAAGAACAATGATATTTAAAAGCTTATAATGCAACAAGCGGGTGAGACAATCAATCGTGGGAGACGTGGGAGACGGAACCAGTACCTCCTTTGACGCGTTTCGTCTGTGGACTTTTTCAAAAAGGAGTTCTGTTTGCTTCTCACACCAAATCTTTTATCAGGAAACTCGTCAATCAACTTATTGTCACCTGTATCATTACACCCTCCCCCCCCCAGTCCTTCAATAGACATAATCGTTCCACTATAATCACTAATGGCAACAATGATAATCCATCAATAGGCCGGGGGATGGTGCATTTAATATAATATTCCTGACAATGATATATTTCTATCTCTAAGTAATGGCTGCCAATCAATGTAACACCTTGCTGCCATTTAGTCCTTAGGGTTAGGCAATGGCAACAAAGTAGAATGTTTGAGTATATAAACTATAGAGTCACTTGGATAGGACGATGGCAGTTTTATGGATCCTGAACTAGTAACTCCAACCTTATAAACAGAGAAAATAGAAGTCTCAGGATAACAGCTGGCAATTAGTATAGCAGCTCACTAGTATCTGCTCCGCTATAGTCGCCATTGATAACACTAAACAATGAATGTATAAACTTATGGTAATTACGTTATAGACATTACCATGAGTAACAGAACAATCGTCAATACTAGATGTTCAAATGACGGCTGGCGAGTGTTATAACCGCTCGCTAATATCTCCTCCTATCATCTCCTTTACTATAGATAGTTATCAATCATTCACTTTATAAACAGAAAACAATTATATATATATCTCTCCATAAATAAGTTCCAATAGATCAGTGCGGTTAAGTGTGGTGCCTGACTATTGTCTGATCTGGTATAAACCCTCGCAGGGGTAAATCGTATGGGATCTACTTTCCCATTAGTGAGCTTCTCGGCCTTTTAGCTAAGATCAAGTGTAGTATCTGTTCTTATCAGTTTTCGGTGGGGAAAAGAACCGTCCTTGCGGGGGATGGTTACTTAGTACTCGCTGGAGTGAAAGAGCGTGCGGGGCGGCTTCCTGTGAGAGGGGAACCGCTCAGTACATGGCTTTCTGACTGAACAGATGCGAAGCTTGGTCTGGCTCGAGGGTTCGGGGGTGGCAGAAGCCCGTGGTGTTGTGGGGGTGGCGTCCCAGGGGTGCTCAGGAAGTCACTTGGGTGTGGGACCCCACTTGACTCACTGTAGCACTTGGTCACACATCATATTGCTTATTTCTGCACAACGCCTCTTGGACAGGCCTTATGGCTAGTCTGGGGCAATATTTTTGCACTCCGGCCCCTAAGGCCTGTCAGCGTGGTGCACTGACACTTTAGATTATTTATGCACTCTATCCACGTTTGGCACTTTTTTTATTTTAAATTTTGACCCACAGATGCTGAAGGTGCAGGTTTCTTCGGGGCCTATTCCTGACGCTGGGAGGAGATTCTGTGCCTCTTACGGGGTTCTCTGTCTCCTCCCACCCAGGAGGTGGGTTTCTCTTCGGGAGATCCCACTTGCCTAGTACTGAGGGGGACCTGTTTCGGCAGGTCCCCAAAGGAAATGGTCCACAGCCTTCGGGTTGGTGGACCACCAGTCTCAACCCCTGTCAGGAGCCTTGCGCCCCGGGGGGTCGGGAAAGTAGGTCCCTTCTTGTGAAGGACCTTGCACCCTTGTGCACGTTTTTTGTGTGCTGTGATTTCACGGTTCACTTTTTTTGTTCAAATGGGGAAGTTTTGATGCACGTCCACGGGCTTCGAAAATTAGTGAGCTTTAATAGTGTGATATCTACATTCCATATTCTCTCACAGAATGATTATAAAGATCTCACGAGACTATTATGTGCTCAGTGAACAAATGGTATATCTTTTAGTTATAAGGTCTCGTTCACACCTAGGCGTATTACATATGCGCGTCTGTTGCGCGTTTTTTTACCGCGATTCACGGTAAAAAAGTCGCGTGACCGTTGCGCGTTTCCGAAGGCTACTTGGCTGTATCCCAATGGAAACACCCAACAAAAACGGGCCAAAGTAGTCCCGGGACCTTTCCAGGCGCGGGCCGTTTTGTAGCGCGTTAGGGACGGCGGAAATACGCCGAGGTGGGAACCAGACCATTGAATACAATGCGATTTAGATGTTTGAGCGTTTTGTAGAGCGTTCGTCGTGCGTAGAACCCGCCACAAAACGTTCAGGTGTGAACGAGGGCTAAATGAATTATAATTAATCGGTGAAAGGAATCAATATTAGTTTAATTGGAATATTCAATCATATGCGCTCGATGAACATAATGTGTATCTGTAGGATATAAATTCATTAAAATGATAAATATGTAAATCTTCTTATCAGTGAAAGAAATGAATATTATTTTAACAAAAGTTTTCATTCATATAGTTTGCTATTATCAACAATCAATCCCACCACTTTGGTAGTGCCCCCATGGTCTGTTCACAACCATAAAGCCCTATACCAGTGAGAGTGCATGTGTAATGATTGCTCGGTCTCCCTTCGTTATCATCATCATGGGGTGGATCCCCTACATGTGATCGGTTGTATTTCTTAGTCTGCCATTAAATTCTAAATCCATTCTTAAAATATGAGGATGGTGACACATCCCCACATAGCACAGAGGATAGTGTCACCCCCTCAGCTCCCTCTCACTCATCTTTAATAAGATGGATAAAAAGGAGCCGTGGAGAGGCCAGCCAAATACCAAGAAAGGGGAAGAGGGAAGGAGATGGTTTGTAGTCCTCCGCCATGATGTATACTATAGGGGTTCTATGTTCAGACCCTTTGGCGTCATGGACTCCATCAGAACAATCCATTTTGTTTCATTTTTGGAGATCTCTCTCTGCATATGGCCACTTCCAATCTTTAGTCACTTTATCTAATCCTGTGAATTCCTTTAGGGTTCCTTTTATGTCTCTCTCAGGTGTCTGGGTACACGATGGTCTAGGTTTCCTTTCTTTATATTGTTGATATGTTCACATATTCTGATTCTCAACTCCCGAGTTGCTGGGCACACAGGCCTTTCCCCCCGTGGTGTGGGTGGAGCTGGGCACACAGCACTTTCCCCCCCGTGGTGTGGGTGGAGCTGGGCACACAGCACTTTCCCCCCCGTGGTGTGGGTGGAGCTGGGCACACAGCACTTTCCCCCCCGTGGTGTGGGTGGAGCTGGGCACACAGCACTTTCCCCCCCGTGGTGTGGGTGGAGCTGGGCACACAGCACTTTCCCCCCCGTGGTGTGGGTGGAGCTGGGCACACAGCACTTTCCCCCCCGTGGTGTGGGTGGAGCTGGGCACACAGCACTTTCCCCCCCGTGGTGTGGGTGGAGCTGGGCACACAGCACTTTCCCCCCCGTGGTGTGGGTGGAGCTGGGCACACAGCACTTTCCCCCCCGTGGTGTGGGTGGAGCTGGGCACACAGCACTTTCCCCCCCGTGGTGTGGGTGGAGCTGGGCACACAGCACTTTCCCCCCCGTGGTGTGGGTGGAGCTGGGCACACAGCACTTTCCCCCCCGTGGTGTGGGTGGAGCTGGGCACACAGCACTTTCCCCCCCGTGGTGTGGGTGGAGCTGGGCACACAGCACTTTCCCCCCCGTGGTGTGGGTGGAGCTGGGCACACAGCACTTTCCCCCCCGTGGTGTGGGTGGAGCTGGGCACACAGCACTTTCCCCCCCGTGGTGTGGGTGGAGCTGGGCACACAGCACTTTCCCCCCCGTGGTGTGGGTGGAGCTGGGCACACAGCACTTTCCCCCCCGTGGTGTGGGTGGAGCTGGGCACACAGCACTTTCCCCCCCGTGGTGTGGGTGGAGCTGGGCACACAGCACTTTCCCCCCCGTGGTGTGGGTGGAGCTGGGCACACAGCACTTTCCCCCCCGTGGTGTGGGTGGAGCTGGGCACACAGCACTTTCCCCCCCGTGGTGTGGGTGGAGCTGGGCACACAGCACTTTCCCCCCCGTGGTGTGGGTGGAGCTGGGCACACAGCACTTTCCCCCCCGTGGTGTGGGTGGAGCTGGGCACACAGCACTTTCCCCCCCGTGGTGTGGGTGGAGCTGGGCACACAGCACTTTCCCCCCCGTGGTGTGGGTGGAGCTGGGCACACAGCACTTTCCCCCCCGTGGTGTGGGTGGAGCTGGGCACACAGCACTTTCCCCCCCGTGGTGTGGGTGGAGCTGGGCACACAGCACTTTCCCCCCCGTGGTGTGGGTGGAGCTGGGCACACAGCACTTTCCCCCCCGTGGTGTGGGTGGAGCTGGGCACACAGCACTTTCCCCCCCGTGGTGTGGGTGGAGCTGGGCACACAGGCCTTTCCCCCCGTGGTGTGGGTGGAGCTCCCCCCTTGGTGTGGGCGGAGCTATTTCTTGGCTTGCTGTACCATGGCAGAGGACAATGCTGGGCTTACTTAGATTCGTTTTTCCTTTCAGTGGAGTCCAGTCAGAGGAATTCAGTTCAGGAGATCCCCAAAATAAAGGAAGATCTGATTGGGAAGCAGAAGCAGCTGGATGAGGTTGTGAGTGGCGAGCTGGGCCTCCATAGACTGTGGACCAACATCACTGACATGAACAAGCAGGTGAGATGGCAGCAGATATCGACCAATCAGAGCCTGTCCTAGAGAGCAGCCATAGTCCCTTTCTGATTACCTTCTAGTGTCTCCCGTTTACGGGGGCGGAGCCTTCAGTTTACAGTCCCATTAATGTCCCGGCCCTGAGTGGCTGGCAGCGATGGAGGTTTTCTAGTCCCAATTAGCAAGCATTGGAAAACAGGCACCGGGGGAGGAGCAGAACACCGGGGGGAGGAGCAAAGATTGGTCACCCCGCAGGTCACCGGGGGAGGAGCAGAGATTGGTCACCCCGCAGATCACCGGGGGGAGGAGCAAAGATTGGTCACCCCGCAGGTCACCGGGGGAGGAGCAGAGATTGGTCACCCCGCAGATCACCGGGGGGAGGAGCAAAGATTGGTCACCCCGCAGGTCACCGGGGGAGGAGCAGAGATTGGTCACCCCGCAGATCACCGGGGGGAGGAGCAAAGATTGGTCACCCCGCAGGTCACCGGGGGAGGAGCAGAGATTGGTCACCCCGCAGATCACCGGGGGGAGGAGCAAAGATTGGTCACCCCGCAGGTCACCGGGGGGAGGAGCACATGATTGGTAGATGATTTTAGGTAGTGTTTGTGTCTCCCCCTCAGATCTCTCAGCTCAGCAGCGCCGTCAGCCAGTTAAAAGCCAATCTGAAGTCTGCCGCGGATCTGATTAACTTACCGAAGAAGATGGAGGAACTTCAGAAGGTGAACGAACGAGAAATCACCACATCTGCCCAAACCCCACCTCGGTCTGTCATGTACCCCCCC